CAGAATTCAACACTGAGAGGTCTAAAGTCCATCTGAGCCCCCAGATGTGTTTTTTCATGCAGCTCAATAAGTCCATCATTTGCCTTTTGGCCGATTCCTTGCTGGTGATTCACCTTGTTACTGAGCTTTACCAGCTTGTGTTTCTGAAATGCTCTTGTTATTATGGGGCACAGGTTCCATTTTGCAGCGAGTTTGCAGTGCTGAGGTCAAGTGCAAGGAATAGGTAATGTAACAATTTAAATGTTAACAATGTTAACAATTTAAAAACTAAATAATTCTAAACATCTGCTTAAAATAGCTGCATTTACTCCCAGGTGTTTTTTATCAATTTGAAATAATGATGCATTGTTTTTTCTCCAGGATTTAAAAATTCCAGATAGGATCTTTTTAACATACAGAGTAATACATAATTTACTTTGGTACATAGAAGTAAAATATTTATTAAACTAAATGACATATACAGTGCACAATTATGTAATATATAATGCACTCAGCAACAGTAGAATTATACCAGGAAATGTCTTGAAACCTGTTTTAAGGAAACAAGAGGAGTTTTTAAGCCAAAACCAGGCAATGCAAGATCTTTTATTAATAATTCTTATTTGTCTGGAAATATGTTTGACTGTTCTATTTAGTCACTGCCACAAGTGAAATAGCTTTTCCTAGATCGGTAATCTGCATTCTGCACCTCACTTAGAATACAAAATAGAGGTGTAAATCATTTTTGTATGTGACCTTAGCAGAGATTTCTAGTGTAGCTTGTTTCAAAGCTCTAGACATAACAGCCAGAGTTAAAGTGAAGGATACAGTTCTGAGGGTGAATAGCACATGCAGTGATTATTGCAGGTAAATACTTGTTCTCTCCAGCTCACGGGTACAGTCATCCCTGCAATTTGATACCTCTTCCACCAAGTGTGGTGTCTGGAAACAGGGATCTGGGAAATGCATCACAGAGCTACTCAGGCAGGATGTGTTCCTTTCAGTGCCATAATTCCTTGTGCTACCTCTCTTTGGAGCTGTTGCAGGTATGAGGAGAAGCAAATGGCACAGAGCAGTGCTGCACATGAAGATTAGTGAAGAGCAAAATAACCTCGTACTTTGGAGGACTCTGAAAGTCAGGACAGTGTTAATAGTATTTATGGGTTGTGAGAGTGGGAAGAAGCAATGAAAAGGAAATGCTTCATCTCTTTTCAAAACACCATCAAGGATGAAATTCACTCCTGGGAGAAGGGCCAGCACTGAGCTTTGGGTATTGCTTAATTTAGGCCTTCAGTGGTACAGAAGTGGTGTTTATACTCTTCAACAGGTTCCTTCCCTTGGATGAGTTTAATCTGAAGAACCTAAATTCTGTATTTAATTATAAGAAATGTATTATTAAATAGCAATATGCTATAACTGTGCCAGTGTAACTCCTTTTGGTGATTTTCTTTTAGAATTTGGCAAGCCTTAGTGAATTAATACAAACCAGTTTAGTAAGCAGCTGTGAGAAAAACAAAAGCACAGCCACCCAGAGAGCTGCAGTGACATTGGCATAATAGCAGGTGTGTTGGTAAGTAGTCCTCCATATCCAAGCCCTTACTTGAATTGACAGAGGCTTATTTTCTGGGCCACATCACTTTAACCTGTTTGAATTTCTGTGTATCCATCCAGCCCCAGGGGTGATCTGTGACCACTGCTACATCTGCTGACCAAAGGTTGCTCTGAATCTCTTCTAGAACCTGACAGAGCTGGGCACCTTGTCCTGGGGAGGTTTTTAGGGGCTGTAGGGGCTGTCACAGGGCAGGATTTGTGTTGGTGTGCATGGCACAGGGACTGTCACCTGGGATTCTGGCAGGAGGAATCTGTGTGCCAGGTCTGTGCATTTCTTTCCCTCCACATACTGCTGCTGTAACTCTTGTGTCAAATACTATGGGCTTGCCTTGTGTTTGTGTTTAAAGAAAAAATTTATGCTAAAAGCTCTGCAAAAACAAACATTTAAGGTATCAGGGCATTTCTGTTGAGAAGCTGAATCTTTGTTACACTGAATGCTAAACATTTACATATCCAAGCCTTATGTAATAGTTGTCTGAATAATAATAAAACTGCATAAACTGACCTTGGTTCTCTGGCACCACTTCTCCTTTGAAGTCTGCATGACCAAATTCAAGACAATTATGTCATCCTTCATAACAGCCAAACAAAATTTTGGCCAAATAATCTTTTTCTTCATCTGAAAGCACTCTGTTTGATTTCTGCAATGTGTGTCAATGTAGCTGTTGTTATTTACTGGGTGCTACAAGTGACAGTAAAAATCTCCTTGTTTCAGAGCAATGATGAGCCCTGTTAACATCTGGATTTCATTTATTTTGCCTCAGTGCCCTTGTTCTGGGTTACTTTGGGTCATAGGTTGCAAGGGGAATACGTCCTGAGAACTCATGCACACCAATAATTTGCAGAACATGGAGGTACACTATGTGCCCATATGTGACAGAAACAGAGCCCTGGACAGAAGAAGGGAAACTGGCACTAAAACTTTCCCCTCTATTCAAATCTACCAGTGCCACACTCCAGTAAAACTCTCTGTGGACAGCACAGTCTCTGTGACTTAAGAGTTGTCAGCACAGAGCTCAGATTGCACATCACTGGCCCTCAGACCTCAAGGAAGCCTTGGCAAATTGTCATCTCAGTCTTTGAGGCTCTGTCACCAAGTGCTTCAAAATTCAAGAGTTGATTTTCCCTTACCCCCTGATTCAAGTAATCATTGTCCAGGTCCATGTTTAGTGTTGTGACTTTTTTGCTTTCAAAATGAGTTAGATTGGGATGAAATATTTTGAGTCTACCTTTATCATATACACTGGATTTCTGCAGAAACTCTGTATAGGTTCTTACCTGTTCCTCTGACTGCAATGTTTGCATCTAACCCTATGTTCACATGTACTTCCACTCTTCCAGTGCCATGTTTTCCTATCCAGCTCTAGGTAAAGAGCAGCAAACAATCTAGGTTGTGTTTATAGCTGGTTTAAGTTATTTTCTCTGGATTCACTACAGGACTTGTGGCGACATCATGGGTGCACATGTGCATGTCCATGCACACATTTACGTTTGTGCTGGTACATCAATACTTGCACAATGAATATGCAAAATACACGTGTTGTGCTTTGTCTGTTGCAGAATGAAGGCACTAAAGACAAAACTATTTTAATATGGTTCAATTTTTCACTGCTGAACCCCATTAGAATTATGACTGCAGACAATAAAGACATGAAAAACTGAGGTCAAGCAAGCTGGGAATGCAGTCCTGACGTACAATAATATCCTTCTGTGTCCAATTGCAATTAGCTCTCAGTTTAATTCCTAAATGAGTTTCCAAGGCTTTATTGGTGTAAATCATGATGTTGGTGATCTTTTCTTTATTTTCCTTCAATTTAGTACCATGGTGAAGACAAATGTAATGTGTAGAGTTTATGAAACCAGACAGCTAGTAAATCAATATTATTTTGGTAGTAAATTACTAAGTCAGTGCAAGCTGCTTTTAACTCTTTCCCATGGGACAAATAGCTTGAACTAGCTGGAGCTTAAATCAACACTGTGGGCACTGAATTAGTCAATGATTCTAAAGAAGGCTTTGTTGGCATAAAGTTCTGCTTTGATCGCCATGGTATTTACAGCTTTTTAATTAGATACAGTTCAGAACAATGGCTTTTATCAAAGCAGTTTGGGAAGTGAACAACTGGACTTTGTTTAGAGCTTTGGATGACATTCTGCCTGTTAATATCATGTGGCTGGTTTTAATACAATGATGAAGTTAGGATTATTTTAGGCATTGTCACTGCTTTGTCAAAAGAAACTAGCTATTCTAAAAAAGAGTGGCATGTATTGCTTTTTTAATATCACAAGTTTAGCCATTTCTCAACAGGCTAAAACCCAATTGTTTGCTTTGGACTTGTAGAGAACAAACTAATTTTGTACCTATAAATTTGAAAGAAGTGATCCTCTTGTTCATCTTGATTTATTTTCGTGTGCTGAGTGACTTGTTAGGAAGTGCTGAGCTTTTTTTGTCAAGACTGAAGGCAGTTGGTTCCATTTTCAGTGTCAGACATTTCAGACTTGGCTTCTGATATAAAGAAAACCCAACATCAGTGTGAAAATTCCTCAGGGATCTTGGCAGAGCTGGGCTCTATCGTTTTTGGAATGGCAGGTTGGCCTAAGAGTGCTTTCAAAGCTTTACGGTAAGCAATTGTAAAATTTGTAAATTTATAAGAGCAAGAAAGTTAAAAAGCCACTGATGTTTTTAGACCAACTTCGCAATTCAGTGTTCAAATAGAGATACTTATCCTCTAATAAACAATTTGTTGGGGTTTTTTTTTTTTGTTTTTGGAAAGTTGAGCACTGGAGTCAATGAGAAGAAAAATTTGGCTGAAAATAGTTGCTTTCTGAAAGCTTGAATTAAATTTTCATGTTCTCTCAGTGGTGATTCTTTTGGGGCAGAGTAAATATTGGTCAATATTCTCTCCCACTTGAGAAAAATTACTCACTGCCTCACTCTTATGCACAATCTGACTTTCATAATGATGCCAAAAGCCATTACTTTATGTTAGTGGTATTTTTATGTTCAAACTGTCACCGTGGTGGTTTGAGAAATTGGTGTTTTAATCTTAAGCTGGGTATAATACAGTGTTGCTTAGTTCCATTGTAACAGGCCCATCATGTGTTTGAGCATGATGCTTTCTCTGTGTGCTTGAGACTGTTTGGTTCCTACACAGCAAATTTGGCAAAGAGGAGTTGGGAACTGCAGCACGTTTGGGCACAGCAGTGCTTTGGCAGGAGGCAACACATCATCTACACTGGATCTTCAAAGGCTCTGCTTTTCCCCCATATAATTATTATGCATTAAAGTAGTAAATTTGAAATATGGTAAATAAGCAGCGAAGTAACATAATTGGTACTACTAATGCCAAGCAGTAAAATATACTCAAAACATTTTTTTTTCCAACTTTCCATCTTCTTTTCTTTTCCTTCAGAACTCCAGAACCACCCGCTCAGATGAAGATAAGGATGATTCCTGGGATGCCTGGGGAGCCTGGAGTGATTGCTCACGGACCTGTGGAGGGGGAGCCTCCTACTCTCTGAGGAGATGCTTAAATGGCAGGTAAGCCACATGCTGGTGTGTGGGGGTTCTTCTGCAGCTCTGGCACATTTCCAATCCTCTTCTGGTTGCTTCTGTTTCTGAGACCAAGTGCTGTGTAAGATAGATGAAGTGTTATAAAATACTGCCTTTAATACATGTTTGTAATAGACAAATAACTTAGGCTTTAACTCTGAACTTTATTGTGTTATGAGATATAATTGTGGAATGGCAGAAATTATTTATTTGGTATGGTCAAATAGAGAGGGGAGTCCCTTTCACTGTAATACAGATCAAAGGGTGAGTCACCTGTGTACAAGTTAGCCTGCTCTTGCACATGACTTGACATAATGTGCTGCTCATATGGATCTGTCAAATACTGCTCTGTGTTAGGGAAGGAGGGACAACAGGCCATGGTCTCAAATTGCACCAAGGGAGATTCAGGTCAGAGGTTAGGAGGAATTTCTTCTCAGAAAGGTGATGAGACACTGGAATGGGCCCTCCAGGAAGGCAGAGCAGTCACTGTCCCTGCAAGTGTTTAAAGAAGGGCTGAACCTGGCACTCAGTGCCATGGCCTAAAGTGACACGGTGGCATAGGGTCACAGGCTGAGCTCGGTGATCTGAGAGATCTTTTCCAACCAAATTGATTCTCTGATTCTTCCCTGCCAGTTCTTCCTATGCAGTGGTCCTGGTAGCTGGATGATTTCCTGTATAAGTCTTAGTGTGACTTGAAGAGAAGAGCACAGGCAGTGAAAGCCTTTTACCTCACTGGTAAAACTGGACTCATGTAGGACTTGTTGGTACAATCCTTAAAGTAGGAGTAATGCAGTAGGCCTGTAGACAGGCAAGAAAAAATCCCAGCCAGCTTTGAGGCATCTGTCCTGGCATCCATAATTGCCTGTTTCACTTGAATTATTCTTAAACATTTTAAAAACTGATGATTGTGTTTACATTTTTATTTAGTTGTATCAGCCAGGAAGTCACTTGTTCTTAAAGAAGGCTTGGATTATGGTGTGCTGCTGAAGGGCAAACTGTATGAAATACAGAGCTAAAGATGATTGATAAAAGCACTGCCTGTTTTTTTAGTGAAAAATTGCACAAAGGTCTTGGAGAAAAGTAATAGTTCCAGCAAGAAGCCTTGATATTCTACCAATGTGTTAGGGACTGTGAAACAAGCTCAATAAATTGTAGCAGTATAAATTCCACTGTGGTTTTATTAATATTTTTAATGTGTTCCCCTGTGAAAAACATGTGTTTTCCATACCTTGACAAATGCATAGTTTAAAAGGTTTTTTCTATGTTTGATTTTTGTAGCAATGTCCGGGAAACACACAACTGTGGAACACAGTTTTCACATTTGTGTGCATCATAAACATTTTAATTTGCGTGTTGTGATGCAGTAGGTCTTGCAAAAGATTGGATATTTGAGACTTGAAATACCTTGAGCTTTAACAGTGGTACCTTCAGCTGAGTTGAGGTCTTTCTTCAGGCATCCATTTTTTTTTCCTTTTCAAATGCTATTTTTCAGTCTCTCTCAGACATTATTTAAAAAAATGTTATTTTCATGCAAGAAGAGGAAAATTTAATCAAAGAGATGTAAATTATCAGTTATATGTTCACACTTTCTTTAATGTAAGGCACATCTTTTTGGTATGAAGGAATTATTCCAAAACACTGTTCCTGATTTTAGAGAAATCACTAATTATAATTTCTTATCCAGTCATTTGAAATATGTTTTAAGTTCTTTCAAAATGTTGATATTGCCATTTTTAACATGGAAGAATATCTTACACTGTGCAAAAGTGCTGGTTTGTTAGTGAGAAGTTTGGCAGAGTGTGTCTTTAAAAAAAGTGTGAAACCCAACCTCCCCAGATTTATGAGACCACAATAAATAACCATGACTCTATTACATGGCTTTTATTTCAGCTACTAACAACAGATTGAGGATTTGAACTGCCTGGATGTCAGGATTCACATGCATTGGGCACATTTGCATGCAGTCCATGATAATTCTCTTTAATTTAAAATTATGAATCAGATATTCTGATCTTCTCCTCTAGGTCACATCATGTTTATTAGAAATAACTTGGTTGCAATCAGCATAGAGCAGCCTTAGGGATGTCTTTTTCACAAAATAAATGTGGTTTTCATAAGGTTTGCAGTAAATTGGGCTTATAGGGAAAGTCACACGTTCTTTGCTGAGGAGAGACAGCAGTGTAAAGCTGAATACCCAGATCCCCTCTGTATTTAAACCTTGTATTTTGAGTCCAGATTATGGTAGGGCAGTAGCAATAAAAACCTAATTTTCGAGAGAATAACTAGCTGTAAAACAGGCAAAGTTGTGTTTTGCTATTATACAGTGTAACAATTTTTACTTTTTTTTTTTTTAGGAACTGTGAAGGTCGGAATATTCGATACAAAACCTGCAGTAGTAATGTGAGTCTGGCCTTTAATCCTGTTTTACTCATTCAAAAATGTGTTAAAGTTTAAGTAATGCTGCTTCTCATTTAAAACCTTATGGTGCATAATTTTCTTTCCATCATTATTACCATTTTTAAACACTTCAGTCTGCATGACACCATGAGGTCTCAAATTTAGACTTCCCAAATGGACATTTTCTTCTGAAATTATAGTGCCAATTGTGATTCAGAATGTTTTATATCACTTATTAGGAGAGTTACACATTTTGGAGGATTAACAGATCAATTCTCATCTTAAACTAGCAAGTGGTTTTCCTGGGGGTTCTGTCTTGTAGATGAAGCATTAAACTGAGCTTGGGATCATTTGTGGTCATTAGTGATATGGTGACTCTCCTCATGTGAACAAAGAATGCCTGGTCCCCTTCAGATCTTAAATAGGATATTTTCTCCTTATTTTCCCTCAGTTTGCCTAAGCCCAGATCTTTGTATGTCTGTGTGCAAGAACATGCACGTTTAGGTGCACTGGCACAGACGATGCCCATGAGTGAGTGTGAAGCTGGAGGTTTGACCATGCAGTTGCTGTTGCTGCGATGCAATTGCATTTCATTTTTATGGACGTGTTTTATGGAAACTATTCACGTACAGCAAACCTCATTACTTGTGTTCCACTGACTTGCAGTCGTTCTTTGTGCTGTTTAAACAACTGCTGCCCTTCAGCCTGGTCTAGGCTGCCGAAGGTGAGCACCTCAGCAGGACTTTGTGGCACTACAGGTACATTTGTGTGTGCAATCACAGTCCTGCAGGCTGGCTTATGGTCTGCACTCACCCTTACTTGGTTTGCCTCACAGTACAGTGTGACAGTCACATGTGCTATTCCAGGAAAGACAGCAGGCCAATAAATAATTAATAATAACACTAAAAGGTGAGGGCTGAATTTCCTTTGGGTTGAGTTTTGCCCAAAGGTGTGTAAGCTCATTCAGTCATTACCAATCCCATAATTTTTGCCAGCAGCTGTGGAGTGGGACATGTTCTCCTTAAAATGCCTGACACTGGAAGTTGTCCAGTAAATATTCAATCAGTGCATCTCCTAGGAGAGCTGCCCATTGCTGCTTTTCAGTTTGCCACACCTACAGAGTCTGCTGTGCCAGTTGGCTCCTGCTGTCCTTGAGAACAAGGCTTGCTCACACCTTGGGTAGCTCCACACTCCACTGCTCAGTGTTGGATGGATTTCCCACCACAGCAGCTGAAGTTCCTGCTGGCAGAAGCAAGTGGAAGTGATAAATGAATCAGTCCCAGTGCATGCAGGAATCAGATTCTGGAGACAAACCCTGCCCCTTGCCCTTTCAGAAGAAAAGGCCCAGCAGCTTGGTGCATGAGCCCATAAATAAAAATGCTCCCTGTAAAAATACCCTGATGTTTAAAATCTGTGTGATAACTTGGTAACTTGCAGCCAGTCAGGATGTAAGCAATGAACAAAATTACCTACTTATCCACTGCCAATCTAAATGTCTATTTGTGTGCACTGTACCCAGTAACACCTCTGAGTGCTGCATCCTGTGCACTGCAGCTTCCTGCAGGAGCACAGGGAGGTCACCCCAGTGCTCCTTGCTCCCCCAGCACCAGGTCTGGGGAACTGCCCAGGGCATGGAGAAGGGAGGGTGGTGAGGTGGGCATGTTTCCTGCTGTCAGGCACAGGTCTATTTTTTAGGATATCTATTGTATTTTAGAATAGCTGTGGACACTGTTCATTTTAAGATTTATGCATTAGAAATCTAATGGAAGTGATGGCGCTTTATGCTTCATCATAGAGAAAATTAAGATGATTCTCATATCCTCTCTGAACTCCCAGAGAATTTATCTGAAGTCACTGGAGCCTGTTTTTTAACTCTAGGACTTATTTTAAAGCGATAAGTGGCAGGCGCCTTGTATGTGAATCTGTTTGAATTTATGATGATTCAAATGTTAATTTCCAGACAGGAAACTGCCTTTACAGTTCTGCTTTTGGGGCATGTCTGAAAGGGATCATGTTCCCATTTCAGTTCAGATACAGTCAGAATTTCTCAGGAATGGTTTTTCCTAGATTATGGGTTAGATAATGAAGAACTCCTGAGAAAAATATATTTAATGAGATTTCCACTGTTAATACAGTTGATCTCTGAAATTGGCATGCCTGAATTCAAACCCCATGTTAGATCTGAGTTAACCTTGAAACAGGACCTCACACCTAATGTAAATCTGAGACTACTAGGCCAGTTTAGTTTCAAATGATATAATTTTCCCAAAAGCATTATTTCTAATCAAGGCTTCTCACTTTAGGAGTAAAACTGTAGTTTGAAAATTAAGAGTTTATACTAGCTTCTTTCCATATTAATAGGTATTACTGGTAACCACATGAGACATTGGGTATAAATACACAGTGTAAAGCTGTCTGCAAATGTAATTTTGCTACATGATACATTACACCACGAACATCTATATTGGGGAGTACAAATGAAGCACAACTTAATATGTGTGTCATTCTAATGAAAAGAACAAGAATCATTTTACCAGAAAATTGGTTTCATGTGGATTTGTAATGGAATAATAGTAAGTTCATTGAACTCAAGCATAGTTCCAGAATAATATTAGTGATATTTCAATCAAAAAATTAATTCAAGGTCTTAACAACAAAATAATTGCTAAGATTAAGGTGTATGTATAGCCTGCTTATCTTTCTATCATAACTGAGATGCCAGGTGCATGATTTCCTAAAACTGCATGTGTGCTTTCACCCTTCCATATAGAGACTTTAGAGAAATAAACTACCCATTGTATATTGTTCAATGAGATTTTCAGTCTTTCTTGAACCCCTTTTTTAAATTTCAGTTTTTGTATATAGTGTTACATTCTAATGCTATGATGTGCACTATGTGGAAGTGTTTAAGTTAATCCTTTAGGGTCCTATTCACAGAACAAGTTATTTGGGCCATTTCCCCATAAATTTCACATTCTTGTGTGCCAAAAAGTCGCTTATATTTTTGCCAGAGTGATTCTTCTGCAGTCAGAAAAAACATTATTTTATAAAAGATAGCCCCATGTTTAATTCCACTGTAAACTTTTATTATATGCAGATAATGCTCACACTTGTTCAACACATTTATCTGTAACTGTCCCAGCATTGACTTAACCAGCTAATTTACCCTGTTCAGAAAATCTTGGCTGTATTGTGTCTACTTTAGACTATAATGTTTCACCTTGAGTTACACAGTTTCTCTCTAATATGTTCATTTATTTAGTTTATATTTACAATGCTGAGGCACCATAAGGCTCCCTTGGCTGGGGTGGTTTCCAGCTCAGGTATCTTTATTCAGCTTAGAAGTGGCCTGAAAATTGTGTAGGAAAAACATGGAACCTGAAGCTAATTTCAGAAAGAAAACAAAACAATGACTTCATCAGTTTTGGCTGGGTTTCAACAAAGCGAGATTCAAAGAATAAAACTAGACAAAGGGCTAGACTTTCTTTGGTGTCATCATTTTTACTGGGAATTTTCTTGCCTTCTCTTTTGTGCTTTTTTCAGTTGAGTAATTGTTGGCAAGAGTCGCAGGGTCTGATGCAACCTTCATATTTTGTACATGAACATTGCCTACAAAGATACAGATTTCCCAGGTCAGCTTTGTTTTCAAAGGCTGAGGGTGCTTACTGCCAGAGCTCAAAGATACATTTCATAAGAAGCTAGCTCTTGGATGCAGTAGTTTTTAATGGTATGTCACCAAAAAAAAAAAGAAAAAGGGAATATATATACACATTGTGTGTGTGTTTTTAATCTTCATGGTAGTCATGTGTCTAAAGCATCTTTTTCAGATCTGTCTACTATGTTCATAAGTCATGTCATAAATACATTTCATTCCACTGCAAGGTCTGGGTGTGATTGTTTCTGCCAGCATGTTCGTGTGTTAGACCTCATAGATATGTCTTCAGCTCCTTTTGCAGTGTATGAACCTGTAAATGGCCTGGCCATGGTTCAGTGGATTGAGTGTGATAGAAAAGCTATTGCTGAAATTAAGAAATTGCAGAAATCTTGAAATTAGTAGCAAAAAAATATAACAAGCCAGAAAAATTGTGAGATATTGAGAGGGAAGAGAGAACGGTGGAATGAAGTGATGTCTGAAATAGATTAAAACCAGAGACACACAAACAGGATGAGGGCTGGGTCCCCCATATCATTGTCTGATACTGTGACACTGCCCACTTCCTGAACATGGTTCACCCTTGCCTCCCATTCACATCTTTGCCCTGCCTTTTCCTTACTATTTTTTAAACCCCCTTTCACTTCTCCAAACCACTCTAATGGAATTAAACTGATGTTTGCAAGTCCTCTCGTTGTCTTGATTGCATTCATTCTGTGCTTAGTTGTGTTTCTCTTTAAACTCCTTTCTTTACACAAATATTTATTGTTCCCTGGAAGACTGGGATCTGGACTTGGTTGCCATCCAAACTCTGATATAATGCAAATGATAATAATTTCAGCTCTTTGATACCCCTCTGTGATGCTCCTTTATGCTCCTGCTTTTGCACAGAGCTCAAACGTAAAGCAGGTGGAGCTGGCATGGGAATCGAGCTGCCAGAATCACTTTGGGCTCTTTGAAGATGCCAAAAGAGAATAGGGAGATGAGGATTCACTTGCTCTGAAGCAGCCAGGAGGGAGTGGAAGGAAGGAGCTGCATTGTGTTGAATCAATGAGAAACATGCAGTAACCATGGGCTTGACATCCTGACTTTGTGGTGTTTGTGTCTTGGCACCGCATCAACAGCCAGTGATAATGGAGTGTAACAGCAGCTGTCAGAGCTCAGCTGAAGGCCATCACTCTGCCTGCTCTACAGAGCACTCTTTAATTCTTTGTGATGAAAATGTAGCTGGGCATAGCTGAGTGACTCTGCTCCCAAATACTGCTTCTAACTTTACCTGAATTTAATGTCCACTGTTTATTTTTTGATCCTTAGTTGCTCTTCTGTTTGCATTGGTGGGAGGGAGCCATATGGGATCCATACGAACTCTGAAGTCCTCTCTGCTTTTTAGACTTGCTGTTGTGGAAAATGAGAGGTGACAGATAATTCAGAGCCAAAATTCTGCTCTCATTTACACCAGTGCAAACTTGGGGAATTTCTGGGGAGTGACACTGCAGTAAATATGTGTGGCCTCTCACAGTATTTACTCCATGTTCCTAGAAGCTCTCTGTGGAAGGATTTTGTAGAGGTAAAATACTCCCTGTGTCTTATTCCATCATTGTACAATTTCAAAACATATGGCTCAAACTAGCATTATCCCAGATTAAAAATAATATGAAATGTGTCAGTATCATTCTAAATTATTCTCTCTGTAGTGTGTAGCATTAGACAGAGCTGAAAAGTTTTGCTGAGAAAGTTCAGTAAATTTGCTCAGTGCTCAGCTGCAAAAACGCCATGTGTTGGTCAGTAGATTGAATACTGACTTTTAGCAGGTATTTTATGTAGATTACAACCAATTCAGAGACAGTTCTAGGCTACTGTTTGCCATGGTGAAAAAAACCCCAAACTGAGTGCAATATTGCTGTGGGCATTGGACTGAAATTCAAAACTTTTTTCTGTATATTTTACTCTCCAGTCCTGTGTCATGCACTTGCCATTTTGTCAGTTTTATTCAGGGAAGGTTCAGCTCACTGATAAGGTTGAAGCTTGAGATCAGTATTGTTAACTAATACTTACTAATAAGTTCCATGAGTTCGCCTGACACATCACAATCTTTCAGTCTTCCATCCAATGAAAACAAAACTTCACTAAAATCAGTCCCACATCTGGCTTATATGTGCAGTTGGAATTCTTGGAAGAATATCCTTTCAGTCTGGCATATGGACTCTTTGACACTGGACATACTTTCAAATGAAGTCTGCAGTGAGGAATTGTTTGACACAGTAACTCCTTTGCCAGTACTTTACCAAAGTTATTTTCAAATCAATCAGTATTCATCTCCATTCCTGTCACTATAGTTTAATGCTAACATCATTGTTTGTGTGCAATGCTTTATGTAGAAAAAAATATTTTAGAATGTTTTATTTCAAGCATTTCTCGTATTTGGTCTTTATGCTGTGTGTACTGAGGCACTGTATGGAAGAAGGTAGGGAACTGTCTCATTAGAACTGGAAATACAGGATCAATTGTTACCAATTTGAAGTCTATTTATTTGAAGTTTATTTATTTGAAGTTTACTTATTATTCCAAAAAAATAAGCCTTACTGCTCCCATGAGGTGAAGGTGCTTTGTAATTAGATAAAGGACTAAGCACAGAAAGTTCTGGTGTTTCCCCCTATATCTTGTGCTTTTTTCAAGCAGTACCAAACAATTAATTAGACAAATTTTATTTTTTTATTTATATGTAGCCATGATACCTCTTTCATTACTCTGACATATGAATTGATGAATGAGCATAGAGGCCTCAGAAATCCTTTAGTGGGAAAAGCTACTGAAAAGAGAAATGTGAGACATCACCTTGTAGTTACTTGAAATATATAGATTCCTTTAGAAGCCAATTCTTACAATAGAACCAGACTTTAATACTAATTGATGTTGTAAAAATTAGCATTTTTAATTATCCTCTCATATCAGTTATATTGTTATTGCTGGAATATGCATGATATTCTGTACTTGTACTCCAAGCAATGGATTAAGCAACATAAATTATTTTAATACACACAGTAAAACTTTGTAATGTGGCATATTTGTAAAAGTAGATCAGTTCTTGAACCAAGCCTGCCTGAAGAGCTTCTGTGTTATTCATCAGATAACTTTACTGCAAATGCAAAGTATTCCCTAGTTTTTTTTTTTTTTTAATTATTTTGGTTTGTTTTCAGGACTGCCCTTCAGACGTTGGTGACTTTAGAGCACAGCAGTGTTCTGCTTACAATGATGTCAAATACCAGGGACACCTGTACGAGTGGATCCCTGTGTACAATGATCCTGCTGCACCTTGTGCCCTGAAATGTCAGGCTCTGGGGAAGAACCTGGTTGTGGAGCTTGCCCCAAAAGTGCTGGATGGCACTCGCTGCAACACTGAATCCTTGGATATGTGCATCAGTGGAATTTGCCAGGTATGTTTGTGGTCTGAATCTAAATGGGGTCTTTGTTGAGAGGCACTTTGCCCTTCAGTTGGTGCTTTGGGATTGTTTTTCATTCAATTTATCAGTTTAGATGTATCTGCAAGTGCTGTTGAATGGATTGTAGATAAAATACCTTTTCAGGAAGACACAGAACTTCCTGACTGCCTTAGCCATGGATATTTATCTATATAGATAAAAGATCAATAAAATTCATTCACTCTTCTATTTATGCATGTATAAATTAATGAACCTAGTTATTGTAGCTATAGCTTTCCAAAATGTAGTATATCTGTGTGGATGTGATGAAATTGCAGAGCCCTCCATTTCATTTTATTCATTTTCTGAGTCTCATATAATCTCTGTTAAGGAGAAAATGGGACATTTTATGGGATTCAGCCCATAATGGCAGGTGTGAGTATGTAGGTCTGTCTTGTTGTATGGATGAGTGACTGTATGTTGTGGTTGCATGAACTGATTGCTTGAGTCTTTAAATGGCAATAGAATTTCTCTATATATTTACTATTTATTAGTTATGCTATTGACTTTATGCAGTTTGTTAGAGTTACAATATTTGAGGCTTGCTAGCCTTGCCCATGTCTCATTCACAAAGCAATATTGCAAACCTGTTTTATGAACAGAGCAGTTTATAGAGAATGGACATGTTATTGCAATTAGTTTTCTTTCTCTGCAAGTGGTTGTTGCTCTGCTAAATGTCTAAAATGTGTGTGACTCAAAAATGCAGGATATGGCCCAGTGAGAAAAATAGCTCTATTATAGAGGAAAATTTGACACATTTGGCAGAAGACTGGTGCATGGATTATAGCAGCATTAATATATGATCTGGACCTTGCTGTGGGTTTTATGTGACTTCTGTGTACGCTGCAGTTCCGATGCCAGTCGTGTCAACACAGGGTGCATCTGCTGCCTCTGGAACACAAGAGTTCCTCACAGGGAGACTCCATTTGTCAGTACTGCTTCACTCTGGGTCCAGCAGTGTTTGTTACCCTCTATTGGAAATAGGATAGTCCTCCAGAAACTCTGGAGGTACAATAATGTATTTACTGGAGGCCAAATAATGTATTTCTTGTGCCATGTTCTTAGTGATGCTTCCTACCCCAATAAAAGGCTTTTATTCTAGGAGGTGAATTTACAGCAGCCTTTGCTGTCTGTGCCCATTGCTCCCTGAGTGTCAGGCTGGATCTAAGGCAGCTCTGGGCTCTTCGAGGGCTGTGGGGGTGTCAGTGTCTCCCACAGCGACTTCAAACACCTCCTTCCATCCCTCATATGTGGCATAAAATTCTCTTTGCTCGGAGTGGATCCAATTTTGTGAAGAAGAGTTGGGAGGTATATTTAAAAGGGCTGCTTTCAATGTTTCTTCTTAGCATTTTGTAGTATTCGTGTGTATATATGATGTAAAATGCTTGGAAATGTAAATAATCAATTTTTAGAATAAATGAAGTGGTGGAGAAGAAATGAATCATTCCAGAAGCAGGAACTAGAACTCTTACACTGTTGAGGAAAATCAATTTCTTTTCTCTGTCTCCCATTCTTATTTCCTTCATTATTTCTTCAAATTTCCCAAAAATATTTTTCAGTGTGAGGTAGCATCTTCAGGAAAAAAACCTGGAACAAACATATTTAGAATGTGTCCTGTGCTGTAACTTATTCAATTTTTTAAAATTTATTGCTGATACTCATAAACAATTGGCTTTTTAAACTTCATTTTCTTGAAGTCACTGGCTATTCCTGAGGTGTTTTTGCACAAATTGAACATTTTTGCTTTTTAAAGTATGTATTTGATAATTTAGTGTTGGATAATTTTATTGATGCTTAAAAACTGAAGTAGAATTCAATTAAATTAATGATGATTCATTTAAATAATCTTTTCCTCTTTTGGGGGAAGAGTAAAAAGTTTCTTACTTGTGAAAGGGGCTGTGGGAGGTGGGATCTTCCTCAGAAAACAACACAGAGCTTTGTGCTACTCCTCTTTGAGCAGAAAAAGAAAACAAATTGATGCCTAATCTTTCCCAGAAAAAACATGGTTATTGAGTTAACTGCTCTTAAGAGAGACAGCACAGTCGTGATTCCCCACTATTGTTGCTGTGAGATCTGTCTGGTGGGTTCTGACATGTAATTGGCACAACCAGCAAATGGCTTGGCAAGTGTTTTTACAGCTAACTCATCTAAATGAGCACATCCCACTGCCGATGAGGGGATCTTCACTTCTGTGCCTGGGAGCACCAAAGACTCTCTGTAAAGGAGACTGGTGCTGGTTTTGATCATTTATTGTCTCCAAGTTGACTCAACTTCCCCTCCTCCCCAGCGTGATTTCACTTTTGTCTGTGTTCTGGCTCCTGCTAAGGTGGGCTGCATCCCCATTTCTGCCTCTTGCTCAAGCTCTCACCTTGGCTGCATATGAATTTACAAAGATGGTGAATTCTTCTTCTCCAGCGTCACTTCTGATCCTTTGCACTTCCCTTATCAAGCAAATCAAGCTAAATAAGCTCTAGCCAAGAAAATCGTGAGGTGACAAAGCTGCACTCTGAATAGGAGGTGTGAGACATTACAGGAGGTGAAATCTAAGGATGGTGGAGCAGAGAAAGGTTTATTGGGAAAATTAGTAAGATATTTTGGGGTGTTGTGAGGCTTAACTCAGTCAAACCATTTGATCATGTTTTATTTGCTACTGTCCTGCTTCTGTTATCAACTCAAATATCTGGGCCTGTTGTGTTAAATGGGGACAGGTCAAAACTTCACTGCCAGGATTTTCACACTTCTGATATTTTTTTCTAGTCTCTGCATAACTCCCAAAACATTTTTTCATATAATGTGTTCCTGCTGTGCCCATCTGGCTGTGGGTGGAGACATTTAAAAACATCTGCATGTCAGACACATATGTGGGCAACATTTACCCAGTTACTCCGCCTGCTTTGGGGCCCTGCCTCTTCTTGGGTTTTGTTTTTAATTTGTGGAGACCTGCTTTTTTTCTACCAGAATGCAGAATGGGGTGTTACTTGTGCCAGCACCTGAAATGGTTACAGAGATAATTTTCCTAATATGGAGTAATATGTTTGGACAACAAATACACGCATCACCCAAAAAATCTGGAGTCCTGAGGAGCAGCCTGAGTAGTTCTGTCCTAGGCTGTCACAATTAGGTCAAGGATGATGTAAATCCTGCAGTGAACTTTCCATTTAGTGTCAGCAAGTTGTTTGTGTTCCAAAAAAGGCAGACACTACATTGTGCCTTGTAGCATATGGCATAAATTTAGCTGACATCAGAACACATCCCACATGTCAAGGGGAGCACCATCCACTTCTGCCATGCCAGCTCTCCTCTGTCACATGTCATCATATGGCAAGTAGGTATCACTCACCACCAAAGCACTTCTATGCTGGATGTAAATATCTGTCAGAGTTTTCATTGAAAACAGTTTCTGTAAGCTCTTGGAAGGCTCTCTTGCCCTTCTTTTTTTTTATAAGCTCTGTTTGTGTTTTCAACTTAAAATTGTAGCAGGTTATTAATTTCTTCTGAATCTTGACTCCTTTTATCCTGAGAGTTGCTTTCTCAAACTGTTTGTGTTGTGTACTTTCTCTTTTGGTTCCTGCAGATACATTTTTTTGCCTTTAAATATGTTTCAGGACTGCCCAAGATGCACAGGAGGTTTGGTGTGCAGAGACTCACAAAGGAAGGTTTCCTTTCCATCCTGTGTTACTGCAGACATGTTTCTAACACATGTTAGTCTGAGTAGTTAATTCCTGAGTAGCTGTTAAAAAAGCACCTTTTTTTCCCCAAAATTAATACTTACTCCTGATTTTTTATAATATTTAAAAATTACCAAAAAAAGTCTGTGTAACCTTTTTCTTCTTTTTAGCCTTTAAGTGATTCATAGGAAGAATGGATTTGGAGGTAACTCTGTGTCAGGCCAGCTGTTATACTAAACCTGGCATTCTTTCCTGGGTACCACTAATTAGCAAAGGCACAGAGTAAAGTGAATTTGGAGCATGAAGGAACCCCTGTGTAGATGCCTGTGCTCTGTCTGTGTGTTACTGCACCAGAGCTGGCAGGCTGGACCCTGCCCAGAAAGACTGGCAGTAACTCAGGGAGATCCAACAAAGCTTTCTGGCTCTCAGAGCTGCATATGAAAAACCTCATGTGCCTGCACACGTGTGACAGGGGTCATAAAACTGGGAGTGGGGGCTCCAGCTGCAGCTCAGCTGGGAGATGCTGGTGGCTCTCCAGAAGTCCCACTGGAGGATGGGGCTGAGCTAAGCAGGGGCTGCTACATCCTGGTGACCTGTCAGTGTCACCCTCCCTAGCCTCAGGGGGCTGGTTTCTCATCTGTGGAAGCTCTTGGCTCTGCCCAGCCCAGCAGGTCATGGAACCACCCTTCAAGGGCTGCTCCTGCCCCTTTGAATGCCTCTGCCCACCTTGGTGTAGTAGCTCCCTTGTGATCACATTGTTGGTAACTCAGTGGCTTTTATAAATAAATAATAATGCCAGAATGCTCTCAGACACTGCAGGTAATAATGGGACACTCTCAGGCACTGAAGAGGTTTTTGGGATCACTTGTTTTTCTTTTGCAGTTTCCCACTCCTGCTAGAAACTGGTGTTTCTTTTCAGGTCTTATTCTCGCTCCTACTGTTTCTTATGGAGAATGCTCTCCATAGGGTTTTCTTACTGTGGAAGTTTATCCTTTCTTGTCAGATGAGTAGTGGGTTTTTTCTGATCTCCAGTGTCTTATCTATACCTCTTTGGTCATAAGTGATTCACTGCCAAGTTTTGTTTTGTTTTAGTGAGCTGAGTGCAAATGTGACTTTACTTCCCAGCCTAGCAAGGACCTAAATCATGCGAGCTGTGATAGCAGAAAAACTCATGATTTGGGTGTCATCTTGAAGTAGAGCCTTAGTAACCTTCAAATCCCCCAGGACTAAGTTCACCAAGCAAGGCAGATTTGGCTGAACCCAGCCAGAAAAGGAGCAAAGTCATTT